TCCTGCCCATAACCTTGACTGTTATGACTTTTTAAATGTTGTGAGGATGCCAGCCTCTATTACCCTCCCAAGCAGTGCATTCCAGACCCTGTCCCTATCTGGGTGAAATTTCTTTTCCTCAAAACCCTTCTAAACCTCCTGGCTTTCACTTCAAAATTATACCCCGTTGTCCTTGACCCTTCCACTAAGGAGGACAGCTGTTTTCTGACCACCCTGTCCGTGTCCCTTACACAGCTTCATCAGGCCCCATGTCAGCCTTCACTACTCCAAAGAAAACAACCTGAGCTTATCTAGCCTCTCTTCATTGCTAAAGTGCTCTATAAGAGGGAACATCCTGTGAATCTTCTCTGCACCCCCTCCAGTGCAATCACATCCTACATATTGCACAGAGATTAGAACTGCACACAGTACTCCAGCTTTGGCCTAACTCAAGTCTGGTACAGCTCCAACATAATCTCCTTACTCTTATAGTCTGTGCCTCAACTGGTAGAGACTGGTGTCCAGTATGCCTTCTTATCTACCGTATTAACCTGTCCTACCACCTTCAAGGATTTGTGAACAAACACCCCAAGATCCCATCTATCTATCTACTCTATCCATCTATTTCTATGGTCACTTAGTGCCTGCCATAGGAAGTAATCTGGAGATTACAAACTCAAAGGTCCTGATTATAAGTCTTCTTCCTAGTTCCCTAAAATCTGCCTGAACTACTTCATCCCGCTTTGTACCTCAGTCACTGGCACTGATATGGAGCACAAATGCTTGTTCATCACCTTCTCCCTTCAGGGTATTCTGCAGTCATTCTGTAATGTCCTTGATCTTGACACTAAAGAAGCAATATATGATCCTTGACACACATTTATGACTGCAGAAATGCCTGTTTGTTCCTCTAGCTATTGAATCGCATTTCACAATCCCTCCTTTGCTATCCAGTACAACTGAACCAGCCTCAGTGCAATGGACATGGTTCTGGCCGCACTTTCCATACTAGCCTTAATGACACAGGCGGATTGATGTCCTCATGGTTTTATTGCTAGGCTATTATTCTGGAGCCCAGATAATGTTCTGGGGACCTGTGCTCAAATCCCACTGTGGCAGATGGTGCAATTGTGGAAAGTATGAGGCTTTTTTCCAGGATGGTGGGGTCAATTACTAGGTTCAAGGTGCAAGGGGGCAAGTCTAAAAGAGATGTGCATGGCAGGTTTTTCACACAAACGGTGATGAGTACCTGGAAAACACATTGCCAGAGGAGGTGGTGGAAGCAGGCACAACAGCAGCATTCAAGAAGCACCTGGACAAATATGTGAATAGGAAGGGAATAGAGGGGGACGGATCCTGTAAGTGAAGACAGTTTTAGTATGGAAGGGCAAAATGTGGGCACATAGGCTTGGAGGTCCAAAGGAACTGTTCCTGTGCTGTTTTTGTTCTTTGTTCTAATTTGAATTAATCTAGAATTAAGAGAATAATGATGATCATGAAACCATTTTTGATTGTCAGAAAAACTCATTTAGTTCACTAATGTCCTTCAGGGAAGGAAACTGCTATCCTTACCTGGTCTGGCCTATGTGTGACTCCAGACCGAAATCCATGTGGTTGGATCTTAACTGCTGCCTAAAATGGTCTTGAAAGCCTCTCAGTTGTATTAATTACCACAAAGTCTGAAAAAAGATATGAAATTTGACCAACCTATTGGCATTGACCTAGGCAAGGAAAATGACAAATGCAAGCACAGGCCCTTTAGCCATGCAATGTTCTTCTTAAAAACCAAAAGAACTGCGGATGCTGTAAATCAGGAACAAAAACAAAGTTGCTGGAAAAGCTCAGCAGGTCTGGCAGCATCTGTGGAGGAGAAAACAGAGTTAACGTTTCGGGTCCGGTGACCCTTCCTCAGAACACAATGTTCTTCTTAGGTCATTTTACAACATCAAAGACACTTTCAAATAAAAGTGTTGTTATATAAGTAATCTAGATTCCATGGAGAAGGTGATGGGGGTTAGTGCTAAAACTGAGAGAGCTGTCTCACAGACTAGTCAAGCAACAGCTTGACATAGTCATACACACAGAATCATACCTTACAGACAATGACCCAGACACCAACATCACCTTCCCTGGATATGGCCTGTCCCACCGGTAGGACAGAACCAGCAGAGGTGGTGGCATTTGCTACACAGTTGGGAGTGAGTTACCCTGGAGTTGCTCAACATTGCACCCCATGAAGTCTCATAGTAACAGGTCAAACATGAGTAAGGAAACCTCCTACTGATTACCACATACTATCCTCCCTTGACTGATGAATCAGTACTCCTCCATGTTGAGCAACACTGAGGATGGCAAAATGTACTCTGGGTGGGGGATGTCAATGCCTACCATCAAGAGAGAGTCAACACAGTGTGGAGCTGGAGGAGCACAGCAGGTCATGCAGCATCAGAGGAACATGAAATTCGACGTTTCAGGTCAGGACACTTCTTCAGAGAGAATTAGTAACACTATTGATCGAACTGGTCACGTCCTAAAGGACTTTGTTGCTAGACTTAGTCTGCAGCAGGTGGTCAGGGAACTAGCAAGAGGGAAAAACACACCTGACGTCATCCTTACCAATCTTCCAGCTGCAGATGCATCTGTCCGTGACAATGTTGGTAAGAGCGACCACCACACAGTCCTTGTGGAGACAAAGTCCCACCTTCACATTGAGAATAACCTAAACATAAGATATCGACCTGGTGAAGCTACAACACAGGACTACTTACATGCCTAACAGTGTAAGTGGTAGTCAGAGCTAAACAGTTCCACAACCAATAGATCAAATTAATATTTGCATTCCTACCACATCAAGTAGTGAATGGTGGTGGTCAATAAAACAAATGCTTGGAGTAAGAGGCACCACAAATATCCCTATCCTCAATTACGGAAGAGCCCGGCACTTCAGTGCAAAAGGTAAGGCTGAAGCATTTGCAACAGTCTTTAGGCTACTCTCAATCATCAGTGAAGTGATGGAAGGTGTCATAAGTAGTGCTAGCAAGCAGCTCAGCAGTAATCTGTTTAGTGATGTCCCAATTTGGGTTCTGCCCGGGCCACTCAGCTCCTAATCTCAAATAGAGCCTTGGTTCAAACATGGACAAAAGAGTTGAATTGAGAGTCATATGAGAGTGACAACTGCATCAAGGTTGTATTCAACCACGTGTGGCATCAAGGATACCTCGAAAAACTGGAATCAATAATATTGGGGGCAAACTTTCTGGTGATTGGAGTCATAGCTAGCACATAGGAAGATGGCTGTGGTTGTTGGATGTTAGTCATCTCAGCTCCAGGATATCTCTGCAAGAGTTCTCAGTGTAATATCCTAGGTCCAACCATCCTTAGCTGCTACACCAATGACCTTCCTTCCATTATAAGGTTGGAAGTGAGGATATTTGCTGCTGATTGCACAATGCTCAGCGCTATTTCATGACTCCTCAGATACTGAAGTAGTCCATGTCGAAATGCTACAAGATCTGAAAATATCCAGTCTTGGGCTGACAAGTGACAAGTGACAAGTAATACTCACTCTACACAAAGGGCAGGCAAGGACCAACTCCAAGAAGAGAGAATCTAACAGTCGCCCCTTTACATTCAATAGCATTAATATCATTAAAACCCCCACCATTAAAACCCTGGGAGTTGCCACTGACCAGAAGCTGAACTGGACTATGCAAATACAATGGCTACAAGAGCAGGTCAGAGGCTAAGAACACTGCAGTGAGTAACTCACCTCCTGACTGTCCAAAGCCATCCCATCATCTACAAGGCACAAGTCAGGGGTTTGACGAAATATGGAATGCTCCCCACTTGCCTGGATGAGTGCAGCTCCAACAACACTCAAGAAGCTTGACACTATCCAGGACAAAACAACCTGCTTGATTGGCACTACATCCACCAACATCCACTCCCTCCACCACCGACAGTAGCAGCAGTGTGTACCATCTACAAGATGCACTGCAGAAATTCACCAAGGCACTGTAGATAGCACCTTCCAAACTCACAAACACATACATCTGAAGGACGAGGGCAGCAGATACATTGGAACAGCACCACCTGCAAGTTCCTCTCCAAACCACTCACCAGCCTGACTTGGAAATACATCACCATTCCTTCACTGTCACTCAGTCAAAATCCTGGAACAGCCTAAAGTATTGTTGATCTAACCACAGAAGATGGACTGCAGCAGTTGAAGAGGCAGCTCACCACCATCCTCTCAAGGGTGACTATGGATGGGACAATGAATGCTGGCCCAGCCAGTGACACTCACATCCCATGACTGAATAAAAAAAGGCTGTCCATGAATTTCCCAGCTTCACAAATGCATGAAGTGGATTCTATCTGCTTATAAAGCTCTGAAGCCCATATTGCACTAAATATTGGTTGTCTTATATGATAAATTAGTGAAATGACTTCAGGTTTTTAAAAGTAATTTTGGGACTCTGTGGATTGGATAGCATACCCATTAGAGTTTAGAAGAATGAGAGGTGATTTCATTGAAACATGTCAGCTTGTTAAGGAGCTTGACAAGTATAAGCTGAGAGGATCTTTTGCTCATGGGAGAGTCTAGAATCAAAGGGCAAAGTCTCAGAATAAAGGAGCACCAATTTATGACTGAGATGAGGTGGAGTTTCTTCTCTGAGAGGTTTGAGAGCTTTGAGAATTTCTTGACACAGAGAGCTGTGGGAGCAGATCCCTTGTGTATATTTAAGACTGAGATAGATAGATTCTTGATCAGTCAGAGAATCAAGGGTTATGGGAAAAAGGCAGGATGTGAGGAATGTTGGATCAGCCAGGATCTGATTGAATGATGGAGCCAAATGGCCTACTCCTATTCCTATTTTTTATGGTCTTATGGTGTTGTCTTACTTTATTAATTAGTTATTATCCATTACCTTAAATTAAATTAGAATTAAATTTAAAAGAATACATACTCCATGTGACTACTTTCTCTGGAAAAGAGACCTTTGTGATAGGTTTGGCAGGACAGGCATGGAAAATGCTTTACATTTTTTTCAGCAAAAGTAAAGGCATTAAATGCAAGCCATAGTCATTAATTGAAAGGTGAATTCTAGAGAAATGCCTTTATCCAAAGGACGGTAAAATAGTGGACACTCTACCCTGAGGAGTAACTGACCAAAGTATGATGGATGTTTGTAAGGAGCAGCTAGATAAACATGTGACGAAATAGAAGGTAAGAAAGATATGCTGAGAAGATTAGGTGAAGTAGGATGGGAGAAGCCTTGTGTAGATCATACATGCCACCTCAGGACTGTTGGGACAATGGACTATTTCTCTGCTATAGACTTAATCTAATTCAATAAATTCTTAGGACAGGTTTCCGTTTGGCAAATGGTAATCTGATGAAATTAGAACAATGGGAAAGAAAGAAAAGGTTTTATACAAGCACGCTTAAGACTTTTATCCTAAGATGAAACCAGATCCCTTTTGACCTTCTCTGACATCTTTTCAACGTTGTTTCAGTTGCAGTTATTTTCTCTCTCATTTAACCTCTAAAAGAATGAAGCACTACAATATCAATTTGCACTAGGTTCTGTTGAAAAAATGTTGAGTTACACCCAGCTTCTTTCGTATAATTGTTTTCCCTGTGACATTGCTATTCATCGAACAATGTTTTGATCCCAAAGGTATGAAGTCATGAAGGCTTGCTGGGATGCTGATGCATTAAGAAGACCTACATTTGAGCAAGTTGTGGAGATGATTGAAGACCAGCTTTCAGAGACCTCGAAACATGTAAGCAACAGGGCGTGTGTGGCCCCAGCAGTGTGGTTACTGAAATATGTGTGGGCAGATATGACCCAGAGTGGTTGGTTATTTCCTGAATATGGTAGTTGCAAGATAAGTTATATCCAGCCACAACCTGTTTGCCATCAGTAGTAAATTAAAGTTACAATTTCTAACAGGGGAAACACAACCAAAAATATCAACCAGAACAAAAATTGGTGAAAATTCATTGTCAACTAATAGCCTGAGATAATTGAAAGATTCTAATTCTCAAAGGTTATGAAAATAACTTGATTTTCTACTCCCAGATTCTTAAACCTATCTTGCTTTTAGCCTATAGCTACTGATTTAAGCACAGCAGTCATATAAATATCAGACTTAAGGAAAATCTTGAGCTTATGGATAAGTAATATATAGCAAGCTTACTTGAGACAGAGACCCCAGTGTTAACTTGAAGGTGGCTCCTGTGTCAAGGAAGTTGCTGGGAGGTTTTTAGTGGCATTATGTCAGTGAATTCCAAAAGTTAACTTAGTGGGTCAGAATCTGCAATCTCGAAACTGAATTGAAGCAACTCATTTTGACTTTTAGAACTGAATTTTGTTGAGATAGCAGATGGTCAGCTGCTGTGGCCAAATACAGCTGTAAGATCCCACTCCAATAACCAGCAGAACCGAGGGCGGCATATTGCACGCAGTGGGCATTCAAGGAGCTGCTGCAGGGTCTGCAGCTCCATTTAAGATTGATCTGAAGTGACTCTGAATTTGCCACCTAAGTAGCCCGATTTGCCACCTGGTGGACTTGATCTTCTTGCCACTGGCAACATGGCACAGAGGCAGCAAGACATCAGGCACTGTACCAATATCATCCTGTGGCATTTTGCCAGCCCTTCTACCCTAAGCTCCTGACAAAAAGGCCCAAAAAAATCCAGTGCTGGGAGTTCATGTCTCTAAGCTGCACAAATGGTGTGATCTCAGCTTTGTTGAAGTAGACAACGTGCAAATAGAAATTGGATGTTTCAATGATGAATGCTGCACATAGCTCAGTGACAACCCTATGATATATTGGAATTATGGGTGCTGGAACAACTGTAGTAGCATATTTTTATAGCTGTGTCTTCAGCAAACTTGGAAATATTACATTTGGTTCCCACATCTAAGTCAATGATCCAAATTGTGAATAGCTGGGGCCTAAGCCTTGATCCTTGCAGTACACAGACTATTACCCATTTATTTATACTCTGTTTTCTGCCTTTTAACCTGTCCTTTATCCCTGCTCCTACATTATCCCCAATCCCCTGCACTTTACTTTTGTTTATTAATCTCTTGTAAGACTTTATCAACAACCTTCAGAAAATCCAACCACATCCACTGGTTCTGCCAGTAGATACTACTAGTAACATGCTCAAAAGATGCTAACAGGTTTGTCAAACATGTGAATTCATTGTTGATTGTTTGAAAAACCCATCTGGTTCACTAATGTCCTTTAGGGAAGGAAACTGCCATCCTTACCTGATCTGGCCTACATGCGACTCCAGACCTACAGCAATGTAGTTGACTCTTAACTGCCCTCTGGGCAATTAGGGATGGGCAATAAATGCTGCCTAGCCAGCGACACCCTCATCCCATTAATGAATAAAGAAATATAGTCACCTTTTTCAACATTTGAATGTAAATATCATTGGATCCTAGGGATTTGTCATCTTTCAGTGTCATTAATTTATCCAGTATTACTTTTTATAATACTTTCAGTTTCTCACTCTCAGCAGACCATTGGATCTCAATTATTTCAGGGAGATGTCTTACATCTTCCTGTGTGAATACCCACGTGAATACTTATTTAAGTGCTCTGCCACTTCCCTGTTTTCTATTAGAAATTCTCTTGTCTCTGCCTGTAATGGGCTTATAGATATTTTTGCTAATCGTTTCCTTTTGATATACCTACAGAATTTTTTACAAGCCTCTTTTATGTTTCTTGCTTACTTCTTTTGCTTCCAGTTTACATTTATATTCTATTCTCTTTCTTTATCTATTTCATGGTTCTGTTCCTAATTCTAAACTTTTTGCAGCACTTAGGTTTACAACCTTTCTTTTGCAACCTCATAAGGTTCCTCCTTTGATCTAATATTATATTTAACTTCCCTTGTTAGTCATGACTTTCTTGTATTTCCTGTTGGGTATTTTTGCCTTAAAAGATCATATGCTTTTAAAACCAAGCATTAATTCTATAAACGCTAGCCATTGCTTATTCACCGTCAAACCTTTTAACGTATTTTTTCAAGTGAATACATTCAGTTTCCTTCAGCTACCTTTATAATTGCTCTTGTTTAGACTTAACAGCCTAGTTTGTGATTGAACTATACCTCTATCATATACAATGGAAACCATCTTGAACATATTCCAGGAACTTTACCTCCATAGTTTTGATGTTCATTAGATTTACTTACTCTATAAGTAGATTGAAGTCACCCGTGATTAGTGCATTCCCCTTGCAGTATGCACTTCAAATACCTTGATTTTACCATGCCCCACATTACTACTACTGTTTGGTGACCGATAAACCACTTCAACCAATGATTTCTGTCCCTTGCTGTTTCTTAGCTACACATAAACAGATGCTACATTCTGCAATTCCAATCAAAATTTCTCTCTCACTAATACACTGATACCGCCCCTTTTTGTAAGCACTTTCCCAGCAATCTTTCCTATTTGCCTGTATTTCTTGCTTGTAGAATATTCTTTAATATTCAGTTCCCAGTCCTGGTCACCCTGCAACCATGCTACCAAAATGGCAATTAAATCAAACTCCTTTACTTCTATGAATACCAAAAATCACCCTACCTTGTTGTGAATGTTGCGTGAATTTAGATATAGTGCCTCTAATCCTGCTATTTTATCGCTAATCTGTAATTTCATCCTGGTTCATACCACTCAACACTTCTGGCTGAAAATGGATGCAAATTCTTCAGCCTTTTTTGCACCGCTGGGCTCCCCCATGATTAAAGATGATGAGCCTCCTCCTGTTGGTTGTTTCATCATCCATGACTAGATATGCCAGAGATTAGATTCGATCCACTATTTGTGTGATAGTTTAGCCCTGCTATTGCATCCTGCTTATGCTGTACGGTATGCAAGTAATTCTATGTTGTAGCTCATTCATGTTATAGTTGAAATCTCATTTTTAGTTATGCTGGTGCTGTTTCTGGCATGCCCTCCTGCACTCTTCACTGAACCAAGGTTGGCTCCCTGGCCTGATGGTAATGGTAGATAAAAAATACTAAAAAAACTGCGATGCTGGAAATCCGAAACAAAAATGAGATTGTTAGGAAATCTCAGCAGGTCTGGCAGCATCTGTGGAGAGAAATTAGAGTCGATATTTCAGGTCCAATGGTGCCAGACGTGCTGAGATTTTCCAGCAATTTCTGTTTTTGTTTGTGATGGTAACGGTCGAGTGGGGGATATATAGTGCCATAAGGTTACAGATTGTTATAGAATACAATTCTACAATTGAAGGCTCACAGCAACTCTTTGATGTCCAGTTTTGGGTTGCTAGATCTATTTGAAATCTTTTCTGTTCAGCATGGTGTTAGTACCACACAACACAATGGGGGGTATCCTTAACAGGACAAGTTACAAAATATCATTGATTTCCCCTGGCTGGCCTGAATGGAGTGATAGGACTAAAATAGCACTGACCCATGAGAAGGATGATGGTGAAAAGGGACATTGAAGAGGGAATTCCACTCAAAATACCCAAACTTCTCAGCCACTGTCCCCCTTAGCCAATGTGGAATTCTTTGGCTGAAAGTTGAGACTGCTCCCCACATTCCATAAGTGCAGGTGCTACTATCTCTAGTAGAGCTGTCAGGGGCTATTAAAGCCAGAGAGCCTAGGCCAAAAGCACTTCAATAGCGAAGGCAGGAATCAGTGTAGCCTACCTCTATCACTGCTGAAATCACATGGGATGCATCATATAGCAGCAATAGGAAGCTTAAGTCCAGAAATTTCCTTTTCTCATAATACTACATCAAATTTATTGGCTAGTGTTGCTTCCATTTCCTTGCCAATATCCCAAGAGTCAGTTCACTGATTTGATGATGAATGTCAATAAATGGTGCAGAAAGTGTTGGATATGCAAACAGTGGATCAGTGGTTGAGAGTCTTTGTTTTGCTTCTCAAGGAACAAACTGTAGGATTTCATTTCTTGTATTTTACTTGAGATCACCTTGTCAGATATTAAAGCATCCTGGCATCCAGACATCCATGTGAAATGCTGTTCTGGTATTGTGGGCCCTATCTTCATCTTTGTCCTCCTCCTCTGGCTTTCCTGCATCAGAACATGAGTGATGAGTCTTACCCTCCTCCAGCAGCTACAGTCCTCTCTGCAGTGCAATGTTGTGCAGCTCTCAGCACATCATTATCATTCTGAAGACATTCGATGACAAGTGCTGAAGGGTGCCCCAGATTTATCTAACGCCTAACACACATCTTTAGCGTTCTTATGGTTTGTTCTATGGCACACCTGTTGGTCATGTTGTGCCCACTGTAATGCTCCTGCATCTCATTACTGGGGTTCTGTCATGAGCTGAGTTTAAATGGTTGATTGCTATGAGCCAGACCATTAGTTTGTTTTCTGGAATGTATAGATCGAGCATGTTGGACTGCATGGAGAAAGCACACAGGGAATCCTATGCAGACTTCCATGAACCTCTTGTTGCAGCCATGCCAGCTTCATGTTGTGGATTGGCATGTCTATGAATCAATAGCATCTGAATCAGCCAAAAATGTCAATTTGCCTGCCTAGTCATTCTGGCAAGTTACAAGAAAAGGCAACAACTCTCAGCCCTGATAAATGATTCATGCATCACTTGCCTTATGTATTTATGTACAGCCATCTGCAGGACCCTCAAGATATCTTGGTGGTGTCCTCGGAAGAAATTCAGTTAGTGGTGACCTTCAAAACCCCTGGTACTGCACATCCACCAGCTCCAGCAGGATCAGTTCTTTTTCTGTAAGCCTTCATCTTTAAATAAAATCCTGCACAATAGGCACATTTTCATAATGTACCATTGCCCACTGCAACCATTAAATGTACAAGTACCACTCATTAATATTATGGCTATACCTAGGCTTTGCAATAGACAATAATGTATTATCTAAGCATCATTCCATTTTTGATCTTATTCCTTTCAAATTCATTTACGTTGTGACTAAAGCAGTTGACAAGCTTTCATTGTATTCTACAGTATGTAATGGAAACTGGTACAGTGATTTAGAACATTGTTGTGTCAGCACTGGAACCAGAATCCTACCAGATCACTGGCTAGGTGATGCAAATCTAATTTCATTATTCTTGTTATTCTTCCAAGTCAATACAGTTGGCACAAATCTATTTTGTAAAAGTGCCAATAATCTGGCACTAGCACAAAATTAATGACATTTCTCAGACAGACTGCAATATTGCTGGCATGAAAAACCAAAAGTCAGACTGTTGTGCCAAGGAACGCTCCTGGATTGAAGTGCATTTTCTTGGTGCACAATTGCAATAACCTTTCTCTGAATTTAACTGTTCCTGTTTCTGGTGAAAATGCAATTTGTGAACCAAATTGATAGTTCTCATCTCAGTGGCAACCTATATTGATGAGCAGAGGTTTGATCACTGCAGTTTTATGTTGGGTAAGTTTTATGAATACGGAAAGCTAGATAACTTTGATTCAGTTCTGTGGCTCTCTCCCGTTGTTTTCTTGTAGATTTGAAAGCTGTAGATCACTGTAGGTCAGAGCAATCATTAATAACCAGTCTGCCTCTTTTACCCACACGTTCTCTCAGGTTTGGAACTGACGCAATAGCCTAGAGCTCTCACAGCAAGTGTTTAAAGACATACATGTCTTTACAGATAGACAGACACACAGAAGCACACACACGTGCATGAACAGACTGGCTCGAGTTAAATAGTCTTGACATATCCCCGTAAAACAATTTAGTGTTTCATTAGCATTTTCAAAATCAGCCAAAACTGCAGCCAGGGTTCTAAAAGCAGAATGCAACAGGGTAATCAGCATTTTATTTCCCGAAGGAAAAGTAAAGTCATATACAGCAGATATAAAAATACATGGCATTGACTGATGATCCATTTCTCTCCTTGAATTTACAGAAATATTCCAACTTGGAGTCAAATTTTACCACCAGGCTGAAATTTCCCAGTCACTCCTCGCGTCTTAATTCAGCCGGCAGCAGCAACGCTTCTGACCAACCATTGCTAATGAATGACGATGTGTTCCTTGAAGATGAAAACAAACACATGCAAAATTGATTTTGAATCAAAATCCAAAATACTTACATCCTGCTGAAGCGAATATGCAGACAAATGACTGAATGTAAATTTTAATAGCATTTATATATGTTGGAATCATGAATTTACTTGGAAACTGCTGTGCTGTAGTCCTGTGTGGCTAAGTTATATTCTCTGGGATAACACACACCAGAGTAATAAGTTGCAACTGTTGTAAGACTCTTTGAGAGTGGTTTCTCATATGTAATGCTTCTAATTTTGTAGAAAAGGCTATTTCAAAACTTTATTTTTGAACTATATACAATTGTATTGATCATTTATTTTGCTGCAATGAATATTTGGTTAAAAGCAAGATTCTCTTGATGTAGCTAATTTATCTGGTAAATAGTAAATGAAGATACTGAATTTATAGGAAGTGCTAGGCAGCCCTCTAGCTCTTTAAGATGGATGGATATGTACCAGCAATGGAAAGGCAGCAACAGCCTCTTTTAAATGTCTACCTTTTATTTTCTAATGTTTGCCATTTTTTAATGTTCTGACATGTTCTATTACTGATTTGATTCCAGACCAATTAAATGCCTTGGTTCACTACTCAGTCTAACCATGAGGCTGAGAACAGAGTGCACTAATATGTTATCAATATGATCTTCGCTGTCAATGTTCATTGACATTATTACAATTACATAACCATGTGTAAAAAGCAAGACAGAGAGTTCAACATTCTGCAAGTTGATTATGGATGTATATTTAATTCTATTTTAGCTAAATTTTCTGGCTCCAGTACTGCAATGAGTGACCCTAATACCGAATTGGAAATCTTGCATAAATACAATAATTCAGAGGATTGACAAATAAACTGAGCAACGACTAAACTCAGAATGTCAGATATTCTCCAACTTACTTCACCTCTTGCCTTGATGAGCACCAAACTCATACACAAATCTCTACAGACGCAAAGTTACAGATTTACTGAGCAACACTTAAGGTTTTTTTATCAGTCTGCATAAGAAAGGGGAAATAAACACTTTTATCATTAATAAGACACGACAATCTTGCTACCATATTGCTCAACAGCTGAAGACAATCACAGAGAATGAAATTACAATAGCAACTAAGTGCTTTGCAATTTGAGATTGAAATATTTTGCCTTCTAAAATATTAGTTTTGATAAAACTGTGCACTATGTTGTGAAATAAATGAGAAATTCCTCTTCCAAATGTGTAGCTACATATCAATGTTGTCTACTGGCATACCTTGTCCATGTTGACAAGGGGTGAGAGTAAACAATGGTACAAATCCTGTCAAGAGGACAAGTTAACAAAGATGTTGTCTCACACCATTATCAGACGAAATTGCATAATACATGCTTGCTGATATCTACTGAAGGTATTTGCACGCTTACGGAAGTTGAAATTTAAAGCACCTTTTTGTTCTTTTTTTCATATGTACAATGACAAAGGCTAATTGTCTTCAATTAAGTTGTTATAGTTTAAGGAAGTTAGCTTCAAAATCCATCTGGCAATTTAATTTTACTAAACTTTGACTGCACAAACACTGCAACCATTTGAACTGGTAAGGCTTTAATAGCTTAAGGGAAGAATAATCGCAATAAATGCATGCAGTGGAAAACTATTTCTAAACACAGCAATGCCATTGTACTGATTGCATTTGCTTTAAGGCATTACTAACTTAGTAAACAGTGTATTTTGTTTGCCCAATAATGTAGGTTACTCCACAGAACTGTAACCACATTACAGGTCATTGAACTCATATCTGACATATGCATGATACATTTCTGACTTTGACTATTTTGGATAAATTATCTCATTTTAAGGTTATTGATTAATTGTAATTTTATTCCAAAGTCAGTTTTTATTATTGCTTTGGAAATGAATGAGTGGAACAGTCTACAAGGTTCATTCACTTCCTTGTCCAATGTAACAATATGAGATCCAAAAAGACAGAACTCCAAACGTGGAACGTAAATTCATAAGATACATCTTATACTCTTAAGGCATAATCTAAGTGTGAATTGTCAAGTTATCAATATGATTGTAGAACATATGTATGATTTATGCATATGTTTACTATTTATTGGACGAGTCAAGTAAAAGTGATTCATACTGACTTTTAAGATGCAAGCCCTCATGACAAAGGTTTAGAAAAATGTTGCTTTTAAATGTGGATCATTGATTTATAAATATCACTGTAACAAAGATTGACCTAGCAATTTGGATGTTTCAGTCTCTGTGCATCAATGATGAGGCCTGAGGTAACCCCATTATTAACCTATTGAGGCAATTTCTGTGGAGCCAGTAAGTTATAGAAAGCTATCTGGTGTAACTAAAGAGTAGGTTGCTGCTGTGATCGTCTGGTTCTGAAGAAGAATCATATTTGTCTTACAAGATTAACTTTGTTTCTCTCTCCACAGACCTGTGGAGTCTCTCCAGCACTTTCTGCTTTCATTCAGATCTCCAACATCTGCTGTATTTTGCTTTTATTTGTAGTTTATTCTACATTTTTGTTGCATAAGTTACCAGAAAAATAAATTACATGTGAGTAATCTCATTTTATTTCTCTTTAAATCTTTCATAAATGGGGACCGTTGCAAGATTTAAGAGTTTTCAGGTCACATAGTTTTCTAGAACTGGCAGTGATAGCTTTTTGTAAGGGAAATTCTAGGACAGATGTGTCATTCCAGAGTGTTGCAGGAAGTCAGTGGTACCGTAAGAGAATATCATGTAGAATCAAGCACACTGCAGTGATGTTGTGCTGTTCATTCTATCATACTGTTTATGAAAATTAAGTATCTTGTATGATTCTGCACTTATGATCTTTCTCCCTTAGGGTCCATTTTATAATTTCCTACTTGTTTTTCAACGTTTGAGTATGTGGTGATAATTAATTTAGATAATGGCTGATTAAATGACCAGATTTGTAGCTTAGAAAATATGTCAGGTAAACTATTGCTGAATAGAATTCAAATAGGAGTGTGTTAATAAATTTCAGAATCAGTGTTTGCACAGGGCAGTCTTGTTTACACTAACACATTTGTATAAACATATGGGCTTTTTTTCCTGACAATGATGTTTAAATTCTTTGCTAAATAATGGACAAAAAATGACTGTTGAAGATCCAATAGATTTATGTGGTAACATCCCTCAAACCAAAGTTTTCAGATGGATTCTTTGAGGAAGAACTGAAAAGTATGAGAGAAGCTATCAAAAATAACTGATGTTTACTACAATATAATGAAATATATCTTGGGCACTAGTGCAAAGCAGGCAATAATGAATCATCTTTCTATTTTGCACTGATGCCGCTGATCCATGATGAGTTTCATTGTATTTTCCCTTCTGTGACCTGATTATATTACAATTAGTCCAATATGACAGCTTCAGTGTTTAGATATTTACATGAGCATTTTTACCAGGACAATGTAATAGATTTTCCATTGAGAATTCTGTCTGAAAAGTGCATGTTATTAAGAATTAATTTTCTTCAACCAACCTGCAAATTAACTGAGTAAATCAAAAAATAAAATGTCTGCCAGGAGCTGGCTGATCAGTTGTTGTCAGCAATGGGATTTATCTTTGCTTTTATTTTTAGATTGGCACAGGTACTGATCTGTTGAGAGCCACGTTCTAGTTGTACACAGTCTATTATAGAATGGTGCTGGGGAAAACGTGCAGTTAACTTATCAGAATCTCCACTGCTCAGCTCTGTAACCCTGGATATCTGTGCAGTCAATTCGTAGTTTTGCCCACCTATATACTCTTTTAGGATAGCCTCTCCGGTCCAATACCGCAGAGGAGTTAATCAGAGGAGTAATGGTTGATGAGTAATCATCACAAAGGATAAATTCACGGCTGCTCTGTGATGGGTGATCAGATGGGGAAATTTGCTCCCAGTTATTACCAATAATTAATTCTGGCCACTGATCAGACCTGGTGCCTGGTTAATGTTAGATACTAGCAACAGCAATAAAAGTGTGGCTGATTCAATGGCAAAGAAAGGTTTGCTTCTGATGGATTAATTGACCTTTGTATATTGCACTTTTAATATCTACACAGCTACTGCATGGTTATTCATGACAGAATTTGGAATATTGTTTTTGCAGAAATGTTTAAATAAAGGATGCAGTCATTGTGAAAGAATTGTGTTGTGTTCATTAAACTTGCAGCTTTTGCTCGACTTAAGTGTCACAAATTTGTAGTGTCTCAGTACCTAGTTTTACAAAACTCAGGTGTTGAACCCCATATCAGGACAAATTGCTGGAACCTTGACAAAATCCATCAGGATGTGCAGTCTCAGAGAAATAAACAGATGGTTTATGAATCCACCATTGGTTCTTTTGCAGCTGTGTATTTTTATATGGAACTGATTTCTGTGACTTCACATGACCTTGAACTAGTTCACAGGCACCATTAAATATATCCTGTTAGAAATAGTTTTAAACAGTCCTTGTTCCAGACATCATTCCTTAGTCAAGGAGCTGATATGCGTTCCATTTGCGTGATTATATCAAGCTTGCTGTGGAACATGTTACTGGTCACATACAGGATCAAAAACAGGGATTCCAATTTGTTAGTACTATAGACACGGCCTTACATGCAAATTTCCTTTGACAATATAATGTCAGACTAGGAACCTGTCATGTCACAAACTACTGCTAAGATGATAGAGCCTGTGCTATTTAGCAGTGCTTTTTTTTCTTGTATTTAACAAGACTATCCAAAGTGTGGCAGGAATGTTTTATCACTCCTTCACCTACTTCAAATAGCTAGTCTGAGGACACCACCCAAGTTCTGCATGTAGTTGTATGAAACATAAATAACTTCCCACCAAAGATCCTCTGCCTTCCAGTGCATGTGAGTTTGGATGCCAATTTTCTTTCAAAATCACAAACAAACTTAATGTGAGCAGCTGTAATGATTTAGCAGGGGCTGAAGAAGCCTGAAAGAACTCTAATTGGCATCAACCCCTTTGACTCTTGACATTTGATTCCTTTCACCCTATCTAGTTGACATCAGATAGGCCGGGTATCATTTATGCAATTTTAATTTCTATTGCTTGGGGAGAAAACAGATGATAGTGAATGACAGCCTGACTTTCACCTTGCCTTGTTTCCCACTGAAGTCAATCTTCTGTTCTTGGATTTCCTCAGGCGCCAGTATCACAGACTGCACGAATTCATCCTGGACACAGACTGCTGCATTGAGAAACATTACCCATTACTATAAAGGAATTCTAGTAATGAGCTATATATGTCAACCTTACAGTAATGCTCATAATTGAAAAGAAAGCCCTGAATGTTACTCATCACAGTCATGGCTGACTATCCTACTCAGTACCCTGATGCCACATCTTCCCTATACCCTTTGATCAACTTATCCCTATGATCTATCTCTAACTTCTCTTGAAATCTTTCAATGTTTTGGCCTCAATTGTTTTCTGAGCATTCCAGACTCTCTACTCTTTGGGTGAAGAAACTTCTCCTCATCTCAGTCCTAAATTGCCTATTCTGTATCGTTAAATGGTTATGGATTCCCCAGTCATCAGGGATATCTTCCTGTGTTTACTCTGTCTCATCCTGCTGGAATTTTATAGGCTTCTATGAGATCCCTCCTCTCCCATTCTTGTAAACTGTAGTGAATGTAGTTGTAGCTGATCCAATCTCTCTTCATACATCAGTCTTACCATCTCAGGAATCAGTCTGGCAAATCTTCATTGCACTCCGTCCGTGCCTAGAAAATCCTTGCTCAGATAAAGACACCAAAACTACACACAGTACTCCAGATGTGGTCTCACCAATTTCCTGTAGAATTGGAGTAAGATGTCCCTGCTCCTGTACTTAAACCCTTTCACAATGAAGACCAATGTAACATTTGCTTTCTTCACTGCCTGTTGCACCCACGTGTTTACTTTCAGCACCTGGAGTACAAGGATATGCACAGGTCTCATTGCACCTTCCCCTTTACCAACCTGTCATCATTCAGATAATGATTTAGATCCAATTTTTGTTACCAAAATGAATAGCCTCACATTTATCTATATTATACTTCATCTGCCACGCATTTACCCACTCACTGTCCAAATCAGCATTCTCCTTATAGCGAACCCTTTTACCCAGCTTTATATTCTACCCTACTGATCGCATTTTCCAGAACTTGATTTACTTCATATTCCTTCTTTTCTAGCGTGCAGCTCAACTTTGAACAATCAGAAGTAGCATGCATGCAGGAATTGAGCTGATTCATGTTGTGCTTTCAAGTAAAAGCTTTCACTTTGAGAAGAATGAAACAGTCTCAATTCAGATCTATGGGTCAGCACAACCTGAACTGTGGCCAACTCTTTGAAGCTAACTCTAATTTCTACCACACTCAATAGTACAAGTCAAAACTTGACTTTGTTGTTCTTTGTTACCATTGAAAGTTTCAAATAATGTGACTGAAAGCTTGGAAAATTGATTTGGTGACAGAAATTAATACTTTCCAAGCTGTGGAAATAGACTCAGGCATCCTTAGAGCTTTAATACTCAGTGTGCAGAATCTTACAGGGCCGTGAACAATGTGAATGACAGTGAGAATTCTGGGAGGCCCCACGTGAGAAGTCGGGCAAGGCTTTTTTCCGAATATCAGGAGCAATCCGTTGCATTTTCAAACAGAGTTCCGGGTGCTGAGGTGGGATTCTCACTGGGGAGTGTGAGATGCCTATTAGTGGAGATTATTACTTGTTGCTGGTCTCATTAACTGCGAGTTGCGACTTACAATGGGCAGTTTCCTCTTCAACCAGCAGCCATGAGGAACCTAGACATTGACAATTCCTGATGTGAAAGTTTGAGTGGATACCTGACAACTTTAGTTAACCGCTTGCTCCTCCAGAACACCACATTGGGCACCCAACAATACCATCTCAGAGTATGCTCCGGGGCACCAGCTGCACATTCCCACCATCCATGGACACTGTCATATGTCACCTGGCAGCCTCTCAGACATCTTTCTGATCCACTTACAGAATACTTCTGCGCTTTAAAGATGCATTTTGGGACACACTGACACCCGGCACTGAGAGGCTGCTATAAGGACATGTTGTGCACATGAATATGTAACAAGCTTCATGGATTGGACCAAGCTGCATCTCATGGCTGCTCATTTGTTCTTTTTCTGCTCACTCACCTTGAGCCTACCTGGACGTTCATAGCATCCCTGCCATGCCGTGCCATGCGTTTGTGCCTTCTCCCCGCTGTTCCCACTATCCACCTCCCTCACCCTCAGTCAGAGCGGCTATGCTCACATTACCTTAGTCCAGCCTGCCACTTAGTGCAGACACAAAGCCAGGAAGCGTGGTTATCAGCAGTCTTCATTCAAGCGGGGGGAGACAGCCTTCAGTCAGTGAGTCCTAGCACAGTGAGTCAAGGGCAGCCTCTGATATCTGCCCAGAGACATTGGCACAGTCAGCTGGCTGCTTGATATGGTCAGGATCATCTCCTTGTGGAGGGTGAGAAGCCCAATGTTGGGAAGTCACCATCTGCCTTGGCTCTTTCTGCCCTAATGTAGGATGAAAGAAAGGTTTAGATTGAGTGGGTTGAAAGTGTGGCACAGCTGTTAGTGCTGGCACTAAAGGGGAAAATGTGGTGAGTCAGTGCAGAGGACATGCAGAGTTAGGAGGGAAGATGTTGCATGTAAAAGTGAATGTGTTAGAGCATGAGCCTTGGTGGGAGATGGATGTAGTAGCAGAGATGGAGTGAGTGTGAAGTATAGGAGAGAAGATGGTGGACCTGATTCTGGCAGATTGGAAAAGGTGGCACAACCTTCTTTCTTCATTCTTGGACATTGCTCCAGACAGATAAGACTGCAATGGCCTGGCTGACCATTTCCGGACGGACTTATGTTGGCAGAGCCTGGCATCTACTGTTGGTCCTTGGGCAAGACGATGTCCTAGCTCTATTCACCAGGACCTCTGGGTCCCCGAGCTGTAAAGCAGCCACTAATTTCATGTCAGGGCAGCTCCAGACTGACGCTTACAATGGCCTTTTAAAAATGGCACCAGCATCAGGGAGACTGGTGCTTTCTAGAATATCCTGGCAGTGGTGATAAGTGGTAGAGTCTAGCTAGCATCTTACAACAGGGCATCATATTGACATGGTAGGTAGTTAATAAGGTGAGACTGGGGCAACAGTGTGAGAAAACCCATTTGGAATAGTGAGAAGCCCTTTATGAATCTCCCAAGTTGACACTTAGATAAAGGAATGCAAGATTCAGCACAAAATATTCAACCAATGCACAGCAGAAATAAAAAAAAAACCCATAAAATACTGCAAACAAAAAGTGCTGGAAACCACAGCAGGTCAGGCATCTTCTGTGGAGAGACAGCAAGCTAATGTTTCAAGTCTAGACGACTCTTCATTAGAGCTCCATTGAATACTGAATTAGATTGGCAAAGTCACAAAAGAGCATCCTTAAACTATACAGTGATCTAATCAGACTGGACTCCAACAGTCTTCTGCCATGTTCTGACAATGTGATTGGCTGACATTGAGACCATCAGGTCCTCGGAAGTCATGTGATGTAGACTACATCATCACCTGAGCTTTTCTCACTAGTTGTCTTAAAGGCCATTATCATGTTTATAATCTCACATAATCTTTCTACTTAGCTTCTGACTTAATAGGATTTAGTGCCAACTCTTTTCCCTCTCCCATATCTATTTAACTGTCTCTCATTAAAATTAAGGTGGAGATAGGGTTCTTTTTGCCATAGTGAGACATGTTAAAGAGTCACAGAGTCATAGAACATGGAAACAGAACGTTTGGTAAAGGCAAGCTAGTTAAAATTAATGTCAATGTTTCTTGGGAAGCTATGAGTTTTCTATTTCCTTTTCTGGATGCTGTAGTACTTGCTAACAACTTTGTGACTGGTAGGAGACTTTATTTTAAAGCAATGTTCTGCTACTTGCAGCAGACCAATGTAATCCTTTAACACACACTCGACTGTTTAGGAGTTTGCCCTGAGATCAGTCCAAACAGTGCATCTTCCACATGCTCTTTGTTTTACTTCAAAGGTACACTTTATTCATAAAAAAATCATATTAAGTACATACAAAGGTTCTAAATCATTTCTGTATAGTCTTTGCAAGGAGAAAAAACACAAAC